AAAAAAAAAAAAAACACAACTCATTTAGTACCTCTGGAGATACAAGTCTTACTTCCAATTCAACGCTCACTCTCCCCATGAAACCCGCGCGCTGGCCGCCAGCCACCACGCACCCGGGGACAGCCGGTGGGGAGGAAAGGTGGACATGGGTTCAGAGCACTGGTGTTCAGGAATGGGAAACGTGGAAGGGATATGGAGCAGGGACTGATAAAAATCACAGGAGACAGGAAAGGGAACTTAACAACATCATAGTGAATCTTGGCCTCTCTGGTTTCTCTGCTCACAAAATAATACACTGTTTTCTACTATATTGTACTATTTACCTTTAATCTCCAACTAGAATATGGTGCATCTGTTTCTCTGCAGAAAAATCTTGCAGTTTTCGTTCCCATGCTTAACAACTGCTCTCCCGGCAAACCTTGAGTCTGTGAAATGTAACGAATCTGAGAAAGGAAAAAACAGAGAAAAACATGGGGAATGATTTACCTCTGATTTTCAAAATCTGATCCACACAGTTAAAAACTTGTAATTTCATTTAAAAAACAGCAAAACGAATCACCCTCGGAGCACCATAGATTGACAACTACATCTTACATAGGGGAGAAACCTAACACTTGAGTGCTCGATACTGCTGTCTCTCTCCGAGAAGCCCATACATAAACAAGCCTCTGAAGTGACCTATATAAGCAAGCTTTTAAAGTTCGCCCACAGAAATGAGGAGCTGGGGAGAGCGGCTCTCATTACTGCCTCAACCCATTCAAATCCTAAATGCAATGTTTTCATTCTAAACAGGAAAACTAGTGGGAGTGCTTTGCTTCCACAGTTTGATGATTTTTTGGCATGCTCTCATTATACAACTCAATAAGCATCCTTCCCGTTTGCTGTCTCCAGTGCATCCATCTTTTACACACCTGACACACCTGCATTTCAAGCAAATGTTCCACTTGAAAAGAGAGCGTGTGTACAACCTCTAGGCATCCAGTAAAAGACTCTGTCCTCATCTCATAAAATCTGCCATGGATGCACTGGGAATGGACCAGCTTTCTGGCTGACATGGTCCGATGCTCTTTTCCACCGAAATTATTAACATGCAATTTATTCTAGAAGATAATTTACTATGCATGTTTCATTGCCTTTCTTATAGTTGATAATATAAAGTATCACTTAAAAGAGTTAAGATTCAAGGCTTCAACAGAAATCTGTGGAAACACATGACAATGTGTTTTTAATTCCTGTGCGTGCCATGGGAACTCACTGTACAAGGCAGGAGCTATCCTAGGAGTAACACTTCTTTAACATTTTTTTTTTAAAAACACCTTCAAGAAAGCCAAACTGGAATAGTAATTGGCAAAAACTGAAAACTGAGCTTGCTGCAGATGGGGATGGAGTAGATTCCAGCAGCCAGGGCTGAGGGTCTGAGGGGAGCGAGGGCTGGAGGGCGCTGGGTCCCCTGCCACATGCCTCCCGAGGGGCTGCTGCTGCGTGCCAGCTCCTGGCAAAGGTGGGGCAGCCAGCGAACACGAGAGGATGGAGGAAAGGCAAAAATCAAAAAGGCCAGAACAGTGAAATACACTGACCCAGAAACGGGGAGATGAGAAGATGAACTCAATGGAAAACAGAGAACTTGAGAGCTAGGAGCACCTGAGAGAAGAAAAACTGATGGGCAGCAGAGAGGAGGTGCACGCGAGGCTTCTGCTGAAAAATAAGTGACAGTCCAGAGTGGGCAGAAAATAAATGCAATCCTGTCAACTTTTGGTATTTGGTGTCCTCCACAGTTCCCTACATCAGGGAGTAAAGAGAATCCCACTCTGATCAGAACTCTTTCTAGATCATTTAGTTGTTTTCTAAGCATATTGTAAAGTCTTAGAAATTAGGGGGAGAAAGACAATGCATTCATTCAAAAATTGAGCAGTTAAGCACCTGTGCCTGTTTCTAATGTGTGTTAAAGCTCAGAAGACATGGCTATTTTCCACAAAGTACAGCTGTTACTGGATATAAGCACAAATGAATATAATAACCAAGAGCTTCCTTTCAAGGGCTAGCACATTGGCTGCCACATGCCAGGGGACAGGGACGAAATGCAGCACAAAGCCCTGGCCTGCTCATTCACTCGGTGACACACACCTCGCAGCAGAAGAAAAGGAATTTCCTCGAAAGCCATCTCCTGCAACTGCTGTACTCGTGTACACTAAGGAAAACCCTTCATCAAATTTCTCTGAAGTTTTGCAGATCTCCTTGAGCACACTGACAAACGTGACTGAAGTAAGGTGACTCCTGCTGGTGCAGAGGAGGTTACAGCTCCTCTTCCACCATGACTTCTCCCACATGAGAACAGACAAGATGCCAGACAAGTTACCAACTGATGCTTCCAGCAAACTTGAATGATACATGGTCCTATCTAAGTGCCTTTTAAACTCAATATTAATTTCTAAAGCAAGCAAAGAATTTTACGTGTATCAAGACGAACCCCTAATCAACGTAGTCCTTTCTGTGAAGTATGGCATCCTGGAACGTGGCTGCCATGGGTGACAACGCCGTTTACTTGCACTGCCCAGTGAGCCACGCTGGCCCTGGGCCTACAATGGCAAGAAACAAGGATGGACTAACGAGCACGGCGAAGGCAGGCACTCTGCTCATCGTATAAACTGACTTCATCTGCCTGGGTTTCGTACGTGGTCAGATGGCTGTGCTGCTGCAGGGGAAAGGAGGTCCTTTCTTTTCAAATAAGACTCTGTATTATTCTGAAAAAACACCCTCATAATCATGGGATTGAGCTTTACCCTGTTACTGCTCTCTGTACAAAAGTCAGAGGCTCACAGCTACGTAAGCCTGCTGGCACACGTTAATTAACAGCCTTGGGCTGCTGCCATCATGACGAATCACAAGTTAATTTGAGGAAAGAATTGGGACACGGGCAGCATTCTCCACCATTCAAACCCCTACTTCATCATCAGTGACTGAAGATGTGGTGCAAAGCCGTGTTCCACACCCAGAGGCAGCAACTGTGTGCTCTGTGTGTGATCAGGAGACCATGCACTGGGCTTACAGGTCCTTCCTCACCCACGGCAGCATCCCTCCTAACAGACATTTACAGCAGTACAGGGTGCAACAGCAGAAGTAACCCCGGAAAGTACACATTTTGGCCCTCTTTTTTTTTTTTTTTATTTTTTGAAAGTTCAGATCTTCTCCTGCAGGTTTTTTTCAATATAAGAAGTAAATAAATTTGCCAAGTTCTCAGAAATTTTTGAGAGAGTATTACAGATTCCTTCCAGAAACAGATGCCTTCACTTTTTCCTTAAAGAGCATAGTGAATTATATGGTGGTTAGTTGTTTCCTCTTTCATTCTCCATTTTAACAGCAATACTTTGTACAAAGGTCTTCTACGTGCATCAAAGCATCAACCCATATTCCACTCATAGCTCGCTTCCTACCCATGAAACACTGAGTTTTGTGTAAATGAAGGAAACTGAAATAGGAAATGTTACCATAATCAACACAAAATCAACCTAACCCTTGACAGTGGTTTTAACAAAAGGGATTTTTAGACATGTAGGTCTGATCTGTAAGCACAGGGAGCCAAAAGCCCACAAGATGAAGACCTAAAAACCATGCTGGAGGACCTGCCCCTAAGCTGAATGTTGAATCAAAGATGTAGAAGTTAGTAACGAGTCAGTGTTGCTAAATCTGGGATTTTCAGGAGCTTTCTTCACTTTCAAAGTTCAAAACCAGATGGGGATAGTCAGAAGGCTGATTACATCCCTTCCAAATTTCCACAGTATGCTAGAAAATTAAAGACTTCTCCCTCTCAAGTAGAACATTTTCTATTTATAACACATCTTTCATGAGAAACAACTTTTTCCTCTTTAAGTCAGCTCACTAATGCCAATGGTGTCAGTAGTTGAAAACTCCAACAAAGCAAAGGCACTGCTTCAACAGTTTCAAGCTTTACCATTGCATATATATATAGTATTATTGTGACAATTGATTCTCATTCCTCATGAAGTATAGGCTCTCAAATCTTTGAGCTATGCTGGATTGCCAGAAAGTTTCAGGAAGTATTTAGAAGAACACCGATCATGATATCTGAACAGACACTCCAGAGTCAACCCTGTTCATGGCACGTGAGAGATCATAATGCAATGATGTTGGCCACAAACTTTGGTGTCCATCAGGAAAAGTATACTAACATTCACTTTGCAAGACAGGAAAGACAGAAAAAAAAAAAAAAAGGGACAAATTAAACTTTAATTCAGAAAAGCAACACAATATACAGTTTGGTCTAGAAACAGAATTTATGTTTCTAGGACAATCAATAAGAGTAAATTAAAAGCATTGAACAGACTTGAAGAAATACTACTTAATAGGGGATGTTATTAACATTTGAAATCCTGGATTCAATGATCTGAAATTCTTAAGTTGCAGAAAGTGTTCACATGCTTGTGAAATTTATTCTACTACCTGGTCATATTCCAGTGCTCCTGGGTACAGTGGCCATCCAAGAAACAGCTCTGCAATCACACACCCTAACGACCACATGTCTATGGCTTCACAAAACGGCAATCCCAGTATGATCTCTGGTGCTCTGCAAATTAAACATGGTTACTGAATTTTTTCCTTAGGAAAAAAGGTAATTCAACAATTCAAAACCACAAAAACACACCCCAAAAATCTGCTATTTGAAAACACAGGCTAATTATTTCAATAAAATCATAACATCAGAAATTGACTTCTTCTTTATCTAGACAATCCATGGTAAAAATTTACAGCTCTGAGATATTTTTTCCTACAAGCAGCAGTTTGCTATGTATATGAAAATAATTGATATGCCTGAAAAACAGAATGTCACTCATTCAACATTTTTTTGCCTTTCCTCCAGGATGTCCCAACCGCACAGTACACTTAAGGTTATTTAAAATAACAATTTAATTACATAACTGCAAATCCCATAATGCACTCAAATCAGTTCAATGTGATCAGCCTTTATATCACTTAAATGGAAATGTTGCACTTGCTAGAGAACAGGTCTTATTTTTCACCTTAAACAAATGTGAACTATTTAACCAACGGCATTTGAATTTACTTCTGTACTCAAGAAACACAAAAATTGGTATCAACACAGCTTTTAACACTCCTGTTCACGTTGAACAAAACTGAAGTATTTCAGCTTATTTGCGTTTGTTCTTTTTAAACCTTCCCTCGCAGTTCATTGAAGCTATTAACAACAGGAAAAATAATTAAAATGTATCTGCATGCTAATATAGGAAGACCCCTGGAGACAAAGTCTTATTTAAAGCATCACACTATAAAAGGATTTACTTTTAAGACAGACGATCTGTTGTTAGCTGAGCATGTCACAGAACAGTAGGGGGGTGGTTAAAACTAGCAGGGAACCCCCATTGCAGCTGGGCAGAACAACAGCATTCAACTTGCCAGGTGACACACTGGTGGAGAAAATCACCATTTCTCACCTGTGTAAAAGCTCAAAAATCTTACACCAGCATGTGCTGAAGTGTATCATATTGACATTCCACATACCAAACAGAATCTCTGACCATAGTAAAGTCCTACATATCTCATTTATCTTCTCCTCTGACATCACCTTTATCAAAATATTCTTCAATTCACCAACATGTACTGGATTGGGAACAAATTCCTGTTTTCATGCTAAATTAGGACAGAGAAGCGATTTTATAGCTGTATAGTACACCAAGAGCTGAAGCATCTCCATCTCTTTTCACAAGGAGCAGTTGGCAGAAGCTGTATGTCGACATCCTCCAAGCTCCAAGGATGCACATTCACCACTGAGGAAGGACTCCGGATGCTCTGCCCCATCCCTGACCAGTGAAACCACCTGGGCTTCTGCTACAGGGAAAATCTGAGACTTTCCACAGATAAGAAAGTCTACAGTACAGGATATTCTGTTAAATATTTATGCACCTTCCGTTCATGCCGGAGCTTCAGTTCTTCCCATCCTTGCCACAAACCGTTTCGGATGCGATTATATGAAGGATAAAGCTTGTCACACTGGTGGTGAAACTGGAGAGGCTCAGTTTTCCATTGCCTTCAAAGATTTGATTACAATGAACTTCTAGGGATCAAACCTAATGTATTCTTGTAATGCAGGATCATAACACTGCAGTAAGTATTAGCCAGTTTTGTTATCTGAGAAATAAATTTAATCTATCTAGATGCCACAAGACTAGAAATAGCTGTAAGAAACGTCTGCCTTCAGCCGCTGGCTGGGTGCCAGCCTGCGTACGGTTGTTACAGATCTGTGTTAAAATATGCTTCCTTTTGTTGTATTATGTTACAGCCCTGAATAGTTAATGAATATACACACAGCCTATGGATATAGGGGCTTTAACAAATGCTTCTGCTAAAATAAGCTCTTCAAAACCTCTTACATTTACTCAACAGTTAATATGTGCACTGTATAAAAATAGCCGCAGTCGGTCAGTCTGTCGCTGGTCTCTTTTGAGGGATGGGATTGCAAGCAAAAGAAGGATAAGGGTACGTATGATGACAGAAAAAAAAAAGAAGAGAACGTTTACTGTATTTCAACATACAGTAATCTCTTAGTTTTTCCATGGGTACCACGCAGTTCTGCGATACCAATAAAAGCACTAACAAGACTAAGGAAAAGGGATGTATTTAAGGAGAGGCAAGACCGGTGCTCCTCAATTCCCAGCACCTGACCTGCCATCCAGAAAGGAAGAGGAAATACACGTGCTCCCCAGCAGTGCTACCTGCACCTTACCACAGAGCACAGTGAACAAAAAAACCATTTTCAGGCTAGCTTGAAGTGAGGAAGATGAAGAGTTGCTGTTCCACAGACATGTCAGGTTCAACTCCCTCTACCATGGCCTCATGCTGGTCCTTAAAATGGAGCAACTCTCCTACAGCAGACAAAGTTACAGGAGAACTTGTACTGGGTTTGATTACATTTAGGTTGGTCTTAACCAGCTCAAACATTTTTGATACAGGAAAACAGTTTGTTAATGTCATGCTCAAAAGTACCTTTTTCTCTCCTTCTTTTAAACTTTCAGTTAAAATCTATTTGAACAATTGGGGAGAAAAGGGTTAAAGAGGGAGACATTCTTCAATTTTTTTTTTAAGTTAATCCACAGCTCTTTTTTCATATAAGAAGTATTTTTACATGCAACTTAAAAGGAAAGTATTCCCTTTCCTAACTACAACCATAGCCATTAAGTTAAGCAGTAGGAACTCCAGATGTCCCAATACAGGCACTTCAACACCAGATTACCCAAAAAAGACTGTAACTTCGTACTCCTCTCTCTCAAAATGCCACCACTGTCAAACACACTACTGCTTGCTATCTACTGCAGATGACAAGATGCTCAGTATGCCACAAGCTACCATAGTCCCCATCTTAGTAAATAGCTTCTGTTCTCCTATACCAAGACAGCAACAAGAACACCAGGAACTTTCTAAACTTCTTAAGGATGCCAAATCTTATCTAAATGTACTTAAATGTAATTAAAAAACAAGAATTTACAGAGAGAGCATCTATTTCCTTCTAACCAATGTTAATTCCTTAACAATGTTAATTAAATATTAATTAAAAACATTCACAGAAAACTTCATTTAGAATTTAATACGTAATATTGGAAGATTTACTTTATTAAGCAACAACTCCTAAATTAACACATCTGAAATCCTTTCTCACTTGACACAGCACACCTCAACATGACTCTCTTGAAGCAGACTTTTCAATTGGAAATATCTAAAAAAGATGAAAGATGAAAATGAATATTTGCTTCAGCTGCTTGTTTGGATAGTCACATTTCTATTTATTACATCACAGACCATGAATATACATATTATTCTCTAGGTTTTTGTAAGCTCATGAGGAAAGAAACCACACAATTTGTCCCATTACCTTGCTTAAAGACAAGAACATTTCATGAAATAATTTAGCTTCAGCATTGTTAGCCAGCTTAGAATGAAGCACCAAAATAAACAAATTTGAAGAAAAGTGAAATAATTCCTCGGGGAAGGATTACAAAACAAACAAACAGGAAAGCAAAAACTAAACAATAATCAAAACTTTAGCACAGTGATGGAAAAATTCATCCAATCTTTACACTGGGGGAAGAATAAAGAGCAAGAATTAGCCATATTGAAAAAATAAGTCATGACAAAAACTGTAAGAAGTCAAGACATTTCAAATTATCATTACCTACAAGTCTTTGGCCAGAAAATCAATTTAGAAGAAAAGTTAAATGAAAAAGCTAAAAACCAGCAGTTAATGTAGATAATAACAACTGAAGCACAGCATAAAACCAGCAGCTTCCTGGAACTGCTAACTTTATGAAACATTCTGCTGAATGGCCAAATAATTTCTCAAATATGTTCCCACTGAAGGTCCTATAAGAATTAAAAGTTCCCTCTTAAATATCAAAGAAATGAGACGGAAGACTGAGCAATTTTTATTTTTGTTTCTCTTCTGGCAGTATGAAAGGGCCAATGAATCTACTGTCTACCACCTGCCTTTGTTTTATTTATTGACCACCGGGCTGCCACTCTCCAGATGAGTGAGGGGTATATAAATAGCCTCCCTTCCCTCATGTCTCCCACTCCTTTCAACACATCCACGTGATTTCTTTCCAAGACTAAAACCTTTAGCCACAACCCATAGCAACCTTCATGCTAGAAGGTGAAGGTAACAGTGCCGTATGAGGAACACAGAGCTACTCTCTCTCCCCAGCTGCTTTTGCCTACTCCAGCGATGCTGGACATCAGGAATGCTGGTATATCCTTGGCTGTGTTACCTCTCTATTACAGGTTTTGCAGTAAAATTCCTTCCAAACAGGCATATAAGCCTTATCAAGACATTTTGACTTTGCAATTTAAACTACACTGAGTAAGAATTTTAATACTGTCTCTCCATAATTTCAGCTTCTGTATATTCATACAGCTGAAGGTAAATGCAGACAGAATTTCTAATATGAGCATGCAACAAAAAGTTCGTACTCTTCTCATATAAGCCAAACATTACTACCCCTAATTACCACTGTTCATTGTGACAATGCCTAGTAATTATCTGCTCTGGATACAACACTGTCATTATAATGAATACTAACGCAAAGAAGTCATCAAAAGGGTAGGTTGTTTAACTTTTTTTATCAATGCCCTGTTCAAAGTCATCCTATGGATCAAAAGAACTCATGTAAATTAATCCAATTTGCAAGAGTTAAAAAAGAAATTAGAAACCCGAGAATAACACTTCCCCCCCACTACCATTGCTAGCATAACGCAAGCACACACTTTCTGAAAGGAATAACCAGCTACAGGTTGTGAGACATGTAATTCTTCTAAAGAAAGGAGGTTTAAGAGAAGGATCAGATGCAGTGAAGAAGTTAATGGAGATCGTAATGAGCATTCTAACAAGTATGCTGGTGTACATTCCCTTTTCTTCAACTACTAAACTTCATCAGGAATGTGGAGGAGTGCAAACCTTTCTAAAAGATCTGCAAGAACACAGGAATGACTCTAGGCTAGAAGGATCCAAAACAAGGTGGCAACACTCAGAAAAAAAAAACCCCAGGCAGGTACACGTCA